CGGATTCCGATTCCGATGATGCACCAAAATTAGCTAGTTGACTATAAAATTAAAAAAAAACTTTGCGATGACATGTGACGAGACCTGCGATCAGCGGCTCTCCTCGCAAAGGCAGCGATTTCGGATCTGGTGACGAACGTAATGGACAGAGACAAGAGACCCTCCACTGGCCTCCTAACGACAGGTGGAAGATTTTACTTTCGGGGATTCAACAGTTCCTTATGGACAATTATTAGGGAGCAACAGTCATCACCTCAATTTCGGCTGTTGACCTACCTACATGGTCGATGATGAGCTTCGGGTGATGTCATGAGCCAAACAAGTCTCGCAAACTTCGGCCATTTTCGACTTGTTTGCAAAACGAAACTGCCAACACGTTGTTTAACATCAACCATGTAGGTAAGTCAACAGTAGAATGCTGAAGTCCCGAAAGTAAAAGCTTCCACAATGGCCAAGATACTAGTGGAGGGTCTCTTGTCTCTGGTAATGGACGATGAGCCTGCGCGTATCAATAAGAGTAAAGTTCGGAGAGAAAGACAGTCACAAAGGAAGAAACTACGCACTGATCAGTTACATCCATCTTTAAGTTAAACGTCTTTTTTAAAGTTTAAGTTTCTGGGCCTTAAACCAACAAAATCTTGGCAATTTTTCAAAAAAAATCGAACATTTGGCAACAGAAATGGCGTCGGGACGGGCTCAAAACATGATCCAAAAATTCAGAGAAAAATCGAGTGCAATTTTTACGCCAAAACACGATTTTTTAGCACTATAGGCATGTTAAAATTTCGAGAAAAATTCAAAAACGGTCCACCCTTAGGAGCGTTGTCAATAGTTTCACCCTTTACGCACCACAATGCCGCTGCCACTCAAGATTTCTGCTTCCGCCAACTGGAAACTGGTTAGCATGGCCACTGGAGGAGAAAACTTTGACGAAATGGATCGTGCGCTCAAAAGCAGCTCATGAGAAAAATCTAGCCCTCCTCGAGCAAATGAAGATCATGCGGGAAGAAATGAACCAAAGGAAATGAACCGAATGAACCAATCCGAACTCGGCCAAAAGGCCATCCGCTAGCGCCAACACGGCAGAAAAGAAGAATATTAACCTTCCTCCATTTAACTTAGAGAAACCCCAGCTTTGGTCCTCCAAAATCGAATCACTTTTCAACGTATGGAGTATTACGAGCGAAATGATGCGTTACTCTCTATATCATTTCTGAAATCTCCACAGCGTTTTCTTCCCATGGACTGAAAAAAACACGTTTTCAAGAATGGAGATGTTGCATGTATGAGGGATTTGCTTTCATACGGCATTTTTCCTTAGCACGGCAAGGAAATATATTGAGTCTGCCAAAGAAATATCTCCATTCCTATGGACGCATCGGAAGACGCGTGTCTAAGGACGAACTGATAGATTTGACTTGGTGGCGCGCTTTGCCACGCACAAATAATAATTACCTCAGGTTGCGAGTGCTTCTCAGTCCGGTTCTCACTGGTTACGACAAAGATTCACCCGCGAGCCGCGATGCGGCGCGGCGTACAGCCAGCGCGAGATCTGCAGTCGCGCACTGGCGCCTACAAACCTAACAGGAATACTTCACGCATTGCGCAATGCGTGAAGTATCCCTGTTAGGTTTGTAGGCGCCGCGCCAGTGCGCGTGTTGCGCTGTTCGCCCGCCACGGGGAGGGCGTATCTCAATGGAGATGTAACATGTGTGAGGGATTTGCTATTTGACAATTGATTCTTATGTAAAAGTTCGCAAGAAACACAATGGTCCCTCTGATTTTCTCTGAAATCAACTCCCGCAAGCTCAAAAAACGCTCTCAAAGTTGAGGCTGTAATGGAGGGGATATCCCACGCTATTCTGAGAGCCCACCTCTACATCAAGACAAATTCTCCATGCAAAGATAGGGAGCAAATACATTGACGGGATTGCCGTGATTTCAGTTTTAGAGTCCCCACATAAGGCGGCAGCCCAGTCAATGTATTTGCTCCAACAATTTGATCCCTATCTTTGCATGGAGAATTTGTCTTGATGTAGAGGTGGACTCTCAGGATAGCGTGGGATATCCCCTCCATTTTGGCCTCAACTTGAGAGCTTTTTTTCAGCTTGGGAGTTGATTTCAGAGAAAACCAGTGGCACCATCGTGTTTTTCGCGAACTTTTACAAAAGAATCAACAGCCAAATCGATAATTCCTCACACATGCAACATTTCCATTGACGTTGGATAGTTTTTCATTTGAAAATAAAAAATGGCAGGAAGTCTCGACGTCATAAACGTATGTCGCATACGTGATCTGGTAGTTTCATCGTCAATATGTTTCGGGCTGCTTCTTTGTGTCTTATTTGCCCCGTCACAGACGTATCCACAAACGTGCATGAAATGACTTCAATTAACTATCGCTACATTGTGTCCAAGAAACTCACCATTGCTTCGAACTTTCAACTTCGTGATTATACTTCCCGATACGATCGGAGTTCGTAATTAATGTAATGACCGAAAATTAAAGGTTCTCTTGATTTTGAGTATTAAAAAGGGCTTCAAAAATGTATGACTCGAGGTTGTAGTCTATATTTAAGGCAATTTTCCCATTAAGTCGGCGAGCAGAACTAATGATCTCAGTTTCCGTTACCGATGACCATCAAAAATATGAGAGGTGTTAGTCCCCCGAAACACTGTGATCGAACAGTTTCAAGGTAAGGGTGCGCTGACCTACTAATTCCCGTGCTAGAAAAAAATGTCGCCAAGTGTCCCTTGATAACAAATATTTTAGAGAAAAGTAATGGATGGTTTTCATTGAATTATTCCGGTATCCCACATAAAAATACGAATAAAGTAAGCTAAAATCTTCAAGTTGAAAAATTTCCAAGTTTTCAGGAATACCCGGTATCTTCTCGGAAAAATTTCACACTTTCCGAAAGCTTATATTTTTTCTCCGTGGGGCAATAAGGGGCTGGAAAGTAAACACCCATTCATATATTAGGATTACATTTTGCGATAAGGAACCACTATTTCTCGCTCTTCCATAAAAGCGCGTATCTGCATGAGGAAATCAATGGCATACATATAGATTACTTTTTGCAATAAGGAACCACTATCTCTGGCTCTCCTACATAAAAACATATCTGTATTGGGAACTAAATGGCACGTATGTTGTTTCTAAAATGGGCTGGAAATACTGGTTTCTTAGTGCAAAATGTAATCTAATGCTGTTTCTAAAATGAGCCACAATTAGTGGTGCCTTATTGCAAAATGTAATCCATTTTTTCGCCCTCAAGGTTAAAGGTCTTACCGTATATGATCCCGAATTCCGCCGCGCTAGGGAAGAACGACGTATGAGCCTTCTGGCGTTGCCTAATTCCGTCCGATGAAATACGAATTTTCGAGGAAACTGTTGTGTATGTTTCTTCAAGTTTTTCAGACAGCATTGTACACATTTAATCTAATCAAATATCCGAGAATGTCATGGTTATAGGCGTAACATACCTAAAAACTACGTGTTTTATCCGGAGAAATTTGGCAACTCTTGACCATTCATACGGCGTTTTCCCTTGGCACGGCAGAATTGGAGGCTATCAAATATCACGCACATAACCAATATCTTCCCTTCATTAATTTTCACGCGACTCCGTCTGCGCGGTACTAATTACGATCCATCCGAGCGCGTTGCTCTGCAGTTGTTTCGAGAAGCCAAGAATTTTGAAATCTTGAAGATACGCTTTTTATAAAATGTGTGGATGAATTGTCTATTCTACAAATCTGCGATCGAGAATTTGCAGGTGTCAGAAATTTGATGAGTTTCGTGTTTAAGTGGAAACTACTGAGTGAACTGAACGCGAAGGTACCCTTGATTCATAAATTGAACAACTATTGGAAAAAATATGACAAAACGATCTAATCTGCTAAAATACATGTGTTAAAATAGGAAATGCGGACAGATGACGTCACTACGCGGTGTATATTCTCTCTTCAATTTCCCATATCAGGAAAAAAGTATGAAAAATACTGTGAAATCAGCTCTGTAAGCGCTTTCAGATGAAGCAATAAAAAAATTGCATGCAAATTCTCCATTGGAGATAATAAGTACCGGTCCTAGTCCAGACCCTCTTATTAAAGAGTATTCCGCGATCCGGACCATGTTTCCTACTACCGAAACTGAAACCGATACCGACCGGGGTCAACGCACAATCGGACTACATTTTGCTACATTTTTCGGACAACAATTTCTGGCTCATTCATAAAAACACCTAACGGTATAGGTAAATTAATGACAAATTTTAACACTTCTAAAATGAGCCAAAGTTTGTAGTCCCCATTGCTAAATGCAGTCCGACTCTCATTGGGTCCGTCTAAGTTGCGAGCAATGGTTAGCAATTCATGAAAATCGCATTTTGAACCCCACATCATACCCTCAGGTTTGGACAAAAAATCCTTGCATTGAACGCTTAAAATTTACTTTAAGACCTTTTATGTACTGACACGAGGTAGGAAGAGTAAAGTGGCAGGGCCCAAGATTGTGATACATGGACTCAACCGATCCGTCAGAAACTCGAAATTATTATTATCTAAACGGCAACATTTGAGGATATCGCAGCAATGCTGGTACGTAAAAAGAACATCCTCACGGCTGAATTTTTGAAAACCGTTTACAGTGCTGTGCATACTGTGCATTTGATAGGTACGTGTATTTTCATGGCAGAACCAAGAATTCATCATCGATGTATTTCAAGAACCGTTCGGAAAGTTGTTTCGTGGCCTGGAGACTCTTGATTTATTGAGTTCTTTAATATAGCATCCTGAATTCTGGAAAGAATGGTTGAATTAAGTCCAAGATTGTGCGGACTTTCCTCGATATTGAAAGGAGCGACGTGCCCAAAATTAAAAAAGACCAAGTGTCAAACTCGACGTTCATCTTTTTGATAAAAGAGCTTGCAGTGAGTACTCGAATAAAGAAGAGGATGCTACTTAACTCTCACTTTTGTGCATATTTTTGTTTGCAGATGGGTCACGGACGAGAATCATTGGTTGATGGATGATGGGGATCCTGTGCTTTGCGGCAATGTTACAGGGGCAAGGTAAGGATGACAACATTGCCATTTATTTGCCATTATGTACAATTTATAACATTAATTTGCTGCCTTCAAAAATGTTTTATTTATACACAAATTTTAGGGGCGACTGTTATAAAAAAACGCGGTGATTTGAAACCTACTTGGTCAAACCACTGAAAATTGTTCCTTGTGACCTGAGTCTGTAACCGTATGAACGCGTTTTTCTATCCTGACAAAAAGTAACTGCAGGAAAGTTATCGCTTTTGTGAGAGCTGCACTAATTGTAAATCACGTGAATTACATCCGCGAACACTTAAAATACTGCAATACACAACTAATACCGAATGAAATGGTGGTTTGGTTTTTTGGTTGCTAATATTATCGGTAATATATCTAGATTAAGCGCTGTGCTCGGTAATCATGTGTGTGTTCCTAGTGTGTAAATCATTGTTTATGTTTTTTCTTTGATGTAAATATCATTTTAGGAACTAATTTAACCATGAATTCTTCGAGGTCTTTAAAATTTTATACGCACACCCTGGAAGGAGAGGGATTTGGTAGATTTTGCAAGGTTTTCAAAAGGCGAGATATTAGAATTTTGGGTAAGAAGATTCATTGATAGTGAACAACTCCCTTCTTAACTGGATGTTCCATGCGTATCCAGCGGGCTGATTGTTGAAATTGATAGCCAAAGCGATAGACAAAAAAGACAAAAAGGATATGGAGGGATCCTATTGGTGAAAGCTGGTGGTTGCAATAGACAAAGGAGCTAGCTAATACACTAACTAACGGGAACCCACGAGAGACCCTATGGTTAGTCAATCATTTTCTCCCGTAGTCTATAAGAACCACATATTTTAACCGATAGGATCGCTTCATATGCCCTACGTCTTCTTTGTCTATCGCTTTGTCTATCAATTTCAACAATCAGCAGGTAGATTTACGTAACCCAAAAAATTATCAAGGTATCAATATATAAGTTCTCGGAGGGTATTTAATTCATCTGGTCCTAAAAAATACTGTTTAATTCAGTTTTGTTCTCGTCATTACGAGCTGACGTGATTGGTGTTGTTTGCAGTGTTTTAATTTTTCTCGTTCCTGCTAAAGTTAGGGTTTACACTGAAAAAAATAGTAAAACAATCTCAACTATACTTCAAAGTGAAAGCCGACAATAAGAGTAATTGCACTAAAGAAGTGTAAAGGCACCAGCCAGCGGTATACTTAATCCAACCACACTTATGCTGACTGTGAGGACACCAGCGAGAGAAGTGGTTGATTCAACCACACTTTCGGCTAATTTAACCATACCTCTGGCTTGTGCAACTATTCTAATATCTGGTTCCAAAATCGGCTAGAAGTATAATTGGGATTGTAATACTTTTTTTTATCTGTAAAACTTTAAAAGCGAAGTTAGTCGTCAAAAACGAAAATCTGTTGGAATTTCTTGAAGGACTAGAACGCTCTTGTTCGAATCATTTCGACGAAACGAAATACCCCTGGTGAAAATTGGCGATAAGAGCTGCGTTTCAAAATACCATAAGAATTCTCATAGCCGGCTAAAGAAGGCTACAGAAAATCATATAGCTGGCTGTAGAATGCGGAGAAAATCATACGGCCGGGCTATACGAAGCGATAAAAAATTAAGCAGCCGGACTAAAGTTCCGATCGCCGGGCTTTACACTTTCTCGCCTGGCTGTTGCTTTTTCGCCATCGATTATAAAGGGCTATAAGAAATTGTGTAGAAATTCGTGTGCTTTGAACATCATTAAGTTTTATACGGAACCACCTTAATATTTACAAAACACACGTTATATGTACCTTTAATACATATTTTTTTTCATCAATTAAAACGAGAATAATCCATACAGGATGTGCAAACATTTCAAAATCACAAGTTGAATAACGCTGACTCCGCCGGATTAAATATTAGAGCCTAACACAAAGCGGAGCGGCGACGCACTGGCGCCTACAAACCTAACAGGGATACTTCACGCGTTGCGCAACGCGTGAAGTATCCCTGTTAGGTTTGTAGGCGTTTCGCGCTGGCTACCCGCCTGCCGCACCGCAGCGTGCCACGGCGCTTGAAGCAACTATTTCACCCCAGAGGTAATGCACAGTATCATACGAAACTGAGGGCGATCTAATATATTAGAAATGGCAGGCATCCATCAAAAGTACGGAGCTTTCCTCGCAAAATAAATCAAGATACTACGGCCCAAAAAGAGAGCAGTGGTTCAAAAACTCACTAAGTCCTAGCATTCGTAATTAGTGACGTTTAGCATACACTTTATCGCCTTGCTGTGACTTGCTTAATCGCCATCGGCTATAAAAAATTGTGTAGCCGGCTATAGAAGCTATTGGAAATCTTACAGTCGGCCGTAGGTCTATGGTATTTTGGAACACAGATTCTACTGCCAATTTTTACCAGGGACACGAGTTGGCAGCGCTGTATCGCGAAAGATCGGGAGGCCACCGTCTGAAAACGTGTGAAGCTTCTTGCCGGCTGAAAAAGTTTCAGCGGAAGTTGATGCCGGAAGTGTTCAGTTCAGGCAACTTAAATCATACAAGAGCCCAGCTGGAGTGCTTAATTTTTCACCGGTGGAATGTGTTAACTTGTTAAAAACTTCAGCTCGCAAGAATTACTGGCTTTCGAGGGTTCTCACTTAGAGTCCCTTCTTTCGCCACTTGCGGCTTTCAACCCCAAATATTTCAGGCCCCGTTACGTGGGATGGTTCGTTAAGGTCAGAGTTCCGAAATGCTCTACTCGGACGGTATTTCCGGCATCTATTTGATCTACGGAAATTAGAAAATACCTGATAGAAACTCAATTTCTGGACCATACCATAGAGGGCCTAAATCGTTAATGAAACTGCAGATGACACGTATTTCGGTTTGCGGCGTTGCAGACCTCCTATTATACATTATTTATTTCGTGAAAAACTACCGTACGTCATTTTCTTGAAAATTTCAGTGATATTTTCCGTCGCTTAAAGAAGAATATTCTGTGAAAACTGTAAGCCCTAATGTTCGTTTGATCTCCATTGAAAGAATAAAATTGGAGCGGAGATTTCGAAACACAGCGACCGAGATACACATTTTTGCAGTTTCACAGCTGAAACAGCTATTCACAGTCTGGTGTCAGAAACCAGTTAACGTTGCATATAATTTAAAATGATATAGGCTTATTATCCAGCAAATTGACTCCTTGGTCACATACATACCCCCGAACTTCTTACCATGAAAGACTGACTATTGGTCTTAAATATTAGAAAATACAACATGAATTATTATGTCGCAGCATGTCTGATATTACAGAAGATATAATGTCACATTCAAAGCAGAATCTGTAAAAAGGCCATCTGCGGGTCGAATATTGAAATTAATAGACAAAGTTATGAACGAAGAAGACAATAGGTATACGGAGGGATCCTATTGGTGGAGGCGGGTGGTTGCAATGGACAAAGGAGCACTGGAAAAAAAAACCCATTGGATTTAGAGTCCAGACTCTTAAAAACATCGACAAGAAAAGATACTCTCGATTCAATCAGATTTAAGCTTATATTAAAAGGAAATCCGCTCAAATTAAGAGTCTTGGTTCTTGTTTTAAGCTTAAATCTGATCCAATCAAGAGTATCTTTTTTTGTCGATGATTTTAAGAGTCTCGACTCTAGATCCAATGTGTTTTTTTTCCAGTGAGGTAGGTAATAGACTAACTGACGGCAACCCACGAGAGACCCTGTAGTTAGTCCATTACACTCTACCCTAGTTTATAGAACCACCCATTTCAACCAATACAAAATCGCTCCGTATTCCCTATGTCGCCCACTGGAAAAAAACACATTGGATCTAGAGTCCAGACTCTTAAAAAATCGACAAGAAAAATTACTCTTGATTCAATCAGATTTAAGCTTACATCAAAAGGAAATCCGCTCAAATTAAGAGGCTTGGTTCTTGATTTAGGCTTAAATCTGCTTGAATCAAGAGTCATTTTTCTTGTCAATGTTTTCAAGAGTCTGGACTCTAGATCCAATGTGTTTTTTCTTCCCAGTGTCTTTGTCTATCGCTTTGCTCATCGAGTTCAATGTTGAGCCAGCTGCACCGCTCATTTGCCGTGAATCCGGCACCTGCGGTTTGGAAAGGTGCCACAGGTTTCCTTCCTGTCTCGGAGTCTCCTCGAGAATTCGTTGCGAGTCATTAGAACGACTCTTTTAACTGCCAACCCCAACTTTTTCACTTATATCAACTCCGACGCCGGTGTTAACTTTTATATCTCCTCATCCGAGTGCGCTTTTCAAGTGTCGCTCGGCCGCCGACACACACTGCACCGAGTCAGTCCGATGAGCCGGACAAAATCTGGAAACTTTGAAAGCTTACATTTTCGAGAGTATGAAACAAAAAAGTTTAAGAGTGGTTTCCCAAGTAACATGCCACCCCAGAAATGAAAGAAAATTCTCGATCTGAATTTTTATGTCTCTCCTTTTTCCCATATAGAATGCCACAAATCGCTATTAGGGCAGACAGCCACGGAAGATATTTACAATTAGCAGAAAAATTTTTAGCCTTGGGATATGAAGTTGACGCAGTATTCAAACCCAACGCTGTCCATGAGCAGGTGATAGATCTGGGAAATATCAACGAAAACGCCATCTTAATTCTTATTGCAGGATCAAACAACACCTTGAACCACTCAATTGAAGCAGAAAACCAAGAGTCCATTCAAGAAATTTTTTCAAATTTCGACTTCAGCAGAATAAAAAAAACAAATAGAAAAAGTATTAAAGTAGAAATTCCAAAGCGGTTCAACACGCAAGACAGCGACAATGTCAACCAAGAGTGGTTCCATTTTTACATTCGCGAATTTTAGAAACACCCCTTCGAATTGAATTTGACACGCAATAAACATCAAAATTTGAAATTTCAGCCAAGCATTTCGTGTTTGACCTCTTCTTTTGGTCTCGTTCCGCTGTGCGACGGTGGACGCTTTCCATGTTCACCGACCTACGGAACACGAAAATTCCCTTCCT